TATTCAGTAAGCCTTCATGGTGTACCAGCTTCAGTGCATCTTCTTCACTGTCCTTCAGATAATCTTCCAATGCCCTTTTTTATTCTTCAACCATCTGGTGTACTTGTAGCAGCCCACCTATGCTCCTTGGTGGTAGTGGTGGTGGTTATTTTAGTATTCAACTAACATTGAAACTATATTTTAAAAAGACCTGTCCTATACCTCCCCATCTCCAAATATTACCTCTAACTGCCTACAAAACAGCTACAGAAATTGTGGCTTCACAGCTGTAGTATTATTTTGCATGCACAAGATTAGCATGTACACCACTGCCCTTCATCTTCAAGGACATAGTATGGTATTATACAGTATATTGCTGCAAATATAAGAAATAGTATTGATTAAAAAAAAATCTTTTCAAGTCAACCCTGTGCTATGTGCATTCCCAATGGCAGGAAGGGAATAATTTTCACATTCATAATTGAGGTACTGCTTAATTTCAGTGCCCCTATTTTCCACATTGTTTGCTATTATTAGAATAATGGTAAAGCCCCATTTCCAAGAAAGGGAGCAGTAGTTTGTTCCCAGACCATTTGGGAATGGAACATTTGGGGCAAGTCTTGGGGGATGGGGGGCAGGCAGAATCTAAGTACTTAAGTTTTTTATTTTTCCTTTTTTTCTTAACACTGCCACCCCATGCTGGTCAAGTTACCAGATGTGGTCTGTTTCTTCCTCTAGCTAATTAGTTTTTGCCTGAGGTTGTTTTTCATCTACTCTTATGTCTTTTTTAGGGCTCAAGGTTAAGTGAGGAATTTCTTTAACTGATTCACTTAATTTAGTTTGTCACAGCTAAATAATAGGATGCCTAAGATTATTGGGTTTACCTTTAGCTCATTTTATTCTGCATTAAGATTGACTGGGCATTGGGGGGAATAACCAACATCCCTGTACTGTATGTTATCCTCATGTCAGGAACACCTGTTTTAGGCCTAGCAGCAGAGAGCTGTTTTATTATGTTTGGCTTATATAATGTAAGTAGCCTGTGCAATAAAAGCAGACGGCTAGGTCACCTAGTGATGTCAATCAGCCTTTCTGGATAATCTCTAATAATAGCCTTCTTTGGAGGTGGATGATGTTATATTCTATGAAGAGCCAGGCCCATGTTTAGATGCTTAGTAAATTCTGTATAACCACATCAATCAAGTGTTGGTCTTACTTTTCCACTCCTTTTAAACACTGAACACTGTGTCAAGCATTTTCGTTTTGAAAACGGAGAGAGACAAACAGGAGATCTTGTAAAATGGTACATTCAACACTGATTGGAGTCTAGGAATTCACTTCACTCCATCAAGTGTATCCACCTAACACCCATCTCTTGGACAATATGATTTTCTGCTGTTTAGGAGCCAAAACAGTAGAACAAGTATGATACACCACTGATAGTGTTAAATACATTGTTTGTGTATGTCTTTGTGTGTGTGTGCATGGATATTGCATTACATACACATACGTACCTATACTTTTAAAAAGGCTGCCACATGTGATGTCATAGGGTTAGGGATAAGATTATAAATAGGGTTAGGGTTACTGCCAAGCCTCCAAAATTTGATTTTTAAAGAAGTAAGTTCTTCAGCTGTGAAATAATCATATCCTTGGGCAAAATGTAGGGAGGCTGTGATCCTAAGCAAAACTTTGATGGGGGGGGCACTTTTTCTTCCTTAGCCCAGTTCCACCACCACCTATTTCCCATCCATCACAGAAAAAGAGCTAATAGGGCAGAAACTATACCGAGAAGCCTCAGGTCCAAATGCAGTCCCTGGAACCTTTGAATGAGCTCCTGCAGACCTTCAAAAACTTTTACCAACTATTTTTTTAATAAGATAGAAGGAGGGAAATGATTAAACATCAGTAGAAAATAATAATTATATGCCATATTGACCTTTATTTAAATCAAATTAATTACATGGAAATGAAATGCAATCAAATTCAATTTTTTTAGAAGAGTGGCCCTTACTTTTAGAAGAAGCCTCCTCAGCTTAAGAAGGTCTGCATATCTTGTTGTAAGGCATATGCTGGGTCAAAAGGATTAATCAGCCCTTCTGAGGCTGGCACTGTGGTATGAAAGAAATATGAATCACAAGGCTGCCCTTTGCTCATTCCATTTGTAGTCTTACATTGTTACACTAAGTATTCAGTTCTAGGGTCATTAATAAGACCCACTTGCTTCTAGCTTTAATTTTTTTTTTTTTTTTTTGTAATAGAGCAAACCCCTGTTTCCCCATTTATTTGCCACCACATACAGGATCTATCCCCTGTCCATTGTATGCAAAACTGTTAAATCACTTGTTGCAGGAAGGATCTTCTATTCATGCATCCTTAGAGTTCTTGGGCAAAACTGGTATCATAAGCTGGTTATCAAGCCACTTTCCAATCGGTCTGCCTGGATGTCTTCTAAAAGGAACTTTCCCTTTCAGGATCTTCTCCAGCCCAGATACTGCTCAATAAAGCATTGATATTGTGATTATGGCAAGTTTTAGTTTCTAAGAAGTTGTAGAAAGAAACTGTCCCTTGGAAGGAAGGGGTTGAAGATATTAAGGGTCTGCCCACAGTGGGTCTTCCATTCTCTGCTGTCTTTCAGATTATCTAGATTTTGAGGGACATAACCTTCTTGGTTGGTACTGTTCCAGAGGTTACAAGTTTGTCAGTTGGGTGTAGGTGGAGATGAAATGGAAAAAAAGGGACAAAGGATGGTACATTTAGGCAATATAGAGGGCAGCAGGAAAAAGGGAACTTTTAAAACAGCAAACATCCTATGGGCACTTTAGATAGCAGTGCAAAGTGGAGCCCTAGATTTTGGCCACAAAGTTTCACCCTATCAGCATCTTCTGCTTGGCCACTGACTATATGAAGCATATGATTCTAAGCACTGCCTGTACAGATTTCCAAGATTGTTCATTTGTGGTATTGCCCCCAAAGAAGTAGAGACGGTGTTGCCAGAGTGCAGAAGGAGTGAATACTCCAGTACAATATTATTTTCCTTTTGTTTATAATTTATTTTATTGCTTTTTTTCCCCTTAAGCATTCTCAAATCTTCAATTTCTCCACTCTTAAATATTCTGTGAAAGTCTTCATTTGTTCTGATTATTAGGCAGGATAATCACTAGTTGAGTCCTATTAATATCTGAGCCCATCTAAAATAATCTACTTTTATTGCATCAAATAATTTGTTATTGTTATGTCTATAATAAAAAAAATTATTTTGGAAACATTGTAGATATTGAACACCAGTCTGAAATCTGTTGTTTAATTATTGGTGTGCTAATTATGATATTCCTGCTCTCATATTACCTCCAGATTGAGAATCAACCAGAAAGCAGAATCTATTGCTACCTATGACAAGCACCACAGTGAAACATGCCAGTAAAGTGAGTTTTTTTAAAATGTCTTTCTTTTTTAACAGGATAAATTAGGAAAGGAGAGGCTGTATATGATGTGAAATTGTTCTCTACTGAGTAGTCATCTATGGCAATCTGAAATTCTTTCTTAATTCTTCTTTGCTAGAAAGGGTCATCACTAAAAATGAATAAATATAGAAAACTGCCTTCTGATGAAACAGGAAGTCATCTTTCTCAGGATTGCCCCTGATAAAATGACATAAACAGATGGACTGAAAATTCTTGTCCCATGATTTTCATTCAATGTGTATATGTGTGTAGTAAATTTTGCCTTATGGAGATGTGCATTGTCATCCTCACCATTAAAAATGCTTCCCAATCCCAACATTGAGTGAAAATCATGTTGCCCAAAATTGGTTAGTATACTATTAGATTTTGGCATCATGATCTTGGGCTGCCGGGAAACATTGGTTACCCACCTCTCATTTACCCAGGATTGTCTACTTTGAATTTTAGATCAGAATGTATTCATTCTGTATTCATATAGATCAGAATGAATTGATTTTAACCATGAAAAGTAGAGGCTCAGTCGCTGAACAATGACTTTTCCCTAAGCACAGAATCAGGAAGAGAAATAATTGAGTGCACAAAAGATAATACTGAGAAATACTGTGAATGGTTGAACTCCTACATAGCTCCTGCTAAATCCATGGCAGAATGAAACACTCTCAGAAGCAGGAGGGTGGAGTCATCTTCAAATAGAGCATTTTTAAGATGCTAAGAGGCATTTCTAGAATGCCCTCTACCACTACCACCCCCACCAAAAAAAAAAGGCTGTCATGTTGCTATTGTTCTGGTGCAGTTAAACCATAGTCATTGGTACAGGTGTCTAAAAATATTGTGCCATCTTATTTAATTAGTTCTCTTCTTTTGCACAATTTGTGTTTTCTAAAAAATTGCAACAATGCTTTATCATGTTATTGTCCTATATTCTGGCATATTGGGGCTATCATGCTTTGCAAATGCTGCCTTACTATTCTAGGAGACAGGGCAGGTTAAAACAGTTTTAGTTCTAACACAAGAGTGATCTTCCCATTGCCCTTTGTTCCGTTGTCTTCTAAGAAGTTAGGGGACCTATTAATAATAAACATTGCTTCCTAGGGAATAGGCCTCTTAAAAATAGATAGCTGAAGTATTGTAGAAGACACTGAAATAGATGAACAGCTCTTCCTTGGAAACACTGCATGGACAAAGACTACTGTAATGAATGTGTTGTAGGTATCAGTGGGTTTATGAATAACTCTTCAGATTCTCAGAAATTCTTTACTTGCACCTGGTGGTACATATATCAAAGCTCAAGGGACTGCTTCTTTGGAAGCAAAAACAGCACTTAAAATTATTAACTAGCTTGGAAAAGATCTTATTTTTGCCCTGACAAGATCCTAGATTTAGATAAATCTGAGCTGAGAATATGTTGAGCTAATTGGATTCTTTGTGCTCCTGGAGTTGGGATAAGAAGAGAAGTTTCTCTGGCACAGAGAGGAAACTAAAGGAGAAAGGGATTCTGTTACTGCTTTTGAACAACTATTTAATCAAACTCTTGTTGAGAACCAAAACTGGGAAGCAAAATTTTTAATGCAGTATATGAAAGAAATTAAGAAATAGCCCGTTTATTGCCCAGTGTTGATAACCTTTTTGACAGATCTACCAAAAGAATCACATCAATTTATGACTACAGTCCACTCAGTGTCAAGAAGGCACACAGCAATTCTGTGGTGAAACATCAGTAACACCTTTTCTTTTATTTTTCTTATTGATCAGCTAATCATGACTCTCTTCTGGACAAGTAATTTGGAAATTTTATTAAATTACATAATGCATTTATTTACCCAAAAAGTTGATTTTGCTGTTCATCTCACATGGCACAAACACTAGATTCTTTTTTTTTTTTCCTTCTAAGGTTAGTAATCCATAATTACTCAAACATATGTCATATTGAGTTTAATGGGTCTTATTCCAAGGTAAATCAGCATATCAAATTAAATCTTTATAATACCTGTGTCCAAATATGAGTTTTTGTTGAGATTTATCATAGCTAATCTAAAGTTGCTTGGAGACCTTCACTGGAGTATCCTTATAATTAATAAATATACCTGTTTTTCAGAGAGCTCAGGTGAGAGGATCATGACAGAATCTATTTGGATTTCTACATACTTATCTCATTTCAGCTTCTTTTTTCCTGTTTACTATGATAGGGTTTAGGTTTACTCATAATACTTTTCAGTAAGAATAATCAGCTGACTGCACAATGTTGCATGGTCACCTGTGTCAGGCAATAATTCTTTTAAAGAAGAAAGAAAATAGAATATGCACATCAGTTTGAAAGTGAGTGGGAGCTAAGGGGAGGGGAGGGGAGAGAAGGGAAGGGAAGGGAAGGGAAGGGAAGGGAAGGGAAGGGAAGGG